CCTATACAGCGGCAAATACGCCACCGCCACCTGTAACTGCCCCGGCAAATCCCCCAGCCTTATCGGCGACTCCCCCTTCCTCAGCACCCGCACCACATTAACAAAGTGTCGGGCCCCAGCCCTAACCCCCTCCGCAAAAGCAGCCTCCGACCAATTCTCCCGGAGGAACGCACGGAGTTCCGGCGCCACCTCCGCCCCGTCATCGCCGGCGATGCCATCGGCCACCGCGTAGGTGGCGGCAGGGTCCGCCAGGAAGTCGGAGCGGAGGAGAAAAGCGACGCCATCGAGGGAGCCGCCGCTCGAGCGCTCTCCGGCGGCCTTGAGGATCTCGACGCTGAGGGCGGCGAGGACGTGGCGGGGGACGTGAGGGAGGAGGAAGGCGGCCGCCGCCACCTGGCTGCTCGAGGTGGCGGCCGTGAGGGCCAGGCAGAGCTCCATGTCCCGGCAGCCGCGGCCCACGAACCAGCGCACGACGGGGAGGCAGCCGCGCTCGGCCGCGCGCATTAACGGGCCGAGGAAGGCTGCTGCGTTGCCTTCCTCCACGAGGCACTCCATTGTGCCGAGTTTTCCGTAGTGGGATGCGAAGCCGAGGGCTAGGTCAACGTCCACGTCTAGGCTGTTCCTCTGAGCAATCTGAAAAAAAAAAAATAATAATAATAATAATAATCGCTCCCTATATATTAATTTAAAATATGTTGAGCAAGTGGCAGATTCTCACGCTTCTAATGTTGACATGGCGAAAATCTATGCTTCGTAATGTTGTCTATATATTCATTTTTGCTCTGGAGTTAGGTTTGGAGTTAGGTTTGGTATTAGACATAAATAACTTTTTTCAAACTTGGTAAGTGTATATTCAATTTTGTTATTTTTTTCTCTTAGTACACATTTCGGCAAGTTAGCAATCTTACCATATTATAATTTTCTCCCATATTTCTCTGTTAATTTACGATTTACAAATCACTTCCTGCACTATCTATTCCTCTTCTTTTTTTCTTTCATCAACTAGTCAATCAAAAATTTTAAATAAAAAAATTATATTAGCAATAACTTTTATCATATATTTCTTAACTCAACATGAAATGTTGCTTGTCAGTTGGTGGCACGTGAAAATGAGATTATTTTTTACCTGCAAGAGAATACGAACGAGTTCTGTACTCCCGAAACGTGAAGCCTCGAGAAAACATTGGTTGACATTGTCTGCGCCACCTTCGACGAGCATGCCCAACAGTCCCTGGATAGCAGTAGCGGATATGCCTGAGGCCCAACCAGGATCGAATGAGCTGGAGAATAGAGTGAGAGGGAAACAAGCGGCATCGAATGCCTCGGTGAAATCCTTCCCAGTTAGATGATCGCCGGCGAGATCTAGGAAAGTCTTGAAGGCTAATAGTTGGAGTTCGATCTCGACTGGGGAATTGTGGCCGACTCTGTCGCTATTTCCCTGGCAGCGGGAATGGAAGCTTATACACTTAAGGGCCCACTCAGTGAACTTCTGAACCTTGGAACCGGCCTCTGCTTTCAAGACTTCGTCTCCATTGCATTCCTTGAGCCTCTCGTGTAACCTGAAAAGTGAGAATCGTGAGACATGAGATAAAAAAGAAGTCTGCTTGAAACTTACGCAACAGCCAAGATCTCAACCACAATATATTCTCGTCATGCAGATTTTTTCAGCTCATACACAACTACCATGTGGAACCTTACCGTTTTCAAATCTTTACCTCCCTATCTCGATAAATAACATGAGATTGTGAAAGTACATGAAGACCGATGCACTCTAGCCACCGTGAACATTCAAATAAATTTTGATAACAATGAAAAATCAATAATAATCAAATTATAAAGCTGAAACCATCACTCTTTGCTTAAAAGCCGGTTTTGCCAGTTTCCGGATCAAAGAATATCATGATGAACAATCACACTGATTAGGAAATGGTCAATAATTTAACATACGGAATTAAGGAGTCAGTGCGAAGAACCTTACTTGAGCAGTACAAAAAAATTAGATTACAAAAACCAATTAAACTACCTTTGTGCCATCACGGTGACAGTGTCGGCAAGGCTCATCGTTCGACTCTGACAAGCAGAAACACACGAAGCAAGAAATGAAGTTCTGAGTGCAGCTCGGGTGAAGTCATATGCCCCATTGGCTATAATCTTCTTGATCAATCCAGTAATCCCTTGCAACTCCTGCTGTGAGCTCAAGAACCAGATCGAGTCCAACGAAATGCATAAGGCGTCATTTAGAGTCTGAGGATCGGCCAACAAGATCAAGCTCTCAGCAAGTTCCCAATCGTGGGTACTCACAGCACCCTGAAACAACCTACCTAACTCGATCCTATCCTGTCGGCTGAGCTTTCTACCATGTTTCCCAGGCTCAGATTCGGAAGCAGCCAATCTGGATTTCAGTTTCTCTGCACCACAGCTGCAAGAGCTCATGCTAAAATCGTCCTTGGTAACAAGGGGGGATTCCCTCGAGAAAACCACATTTCCATGGCTTCCTTCCTCACCTTTCTTCGAACTAAAATCTACAACTTCAGTTTTATGCTTTCCCTTCCCGCTGTCCACAGTTTCCATTTCCAACATTTCCATTTCAGAACACTGAGGCTCATCCATGCTTACTTGATCTCCAATATCTAGACCGTGACCTTCGATCTCATTTGCCCTTCCCAGCACATGAACCTCGTCTCTTTCCATTCTTTTTCCAAACGTCTAACCGGGCTCAAGGATTGAAAAGAATAAAGAAAATTTAAAAGAAGCTTTGAATTTCAATATTTCCAACTTTCACCCATTCCAGGACTACCAGAGAATCTCAGCCAAGAGAACTTCGTTTTACTACAGCAGTTTTTTCGACTTTCTCGGATAATTCTGCCAACAGTTACGGGAGCCCCAATATATATTTTTCCTAAATCTGAGCAAAATTTCTAATCTATATAGGTGTGTGAGAGAGAGAGAGGGGGGAGAGAGAACAAAGGGAAAACAAAGTTTTATGTAAACAAAATGCACGAACAAGAAAATTTTGCAGAAAAGGAAAAATCGATCAAAATATATGAACGGCGGTTTGAAAAATCAAGGTTTGTTTTCAATAATCATGTGAAATCTCCGACATCGTCCACATCATCAGAAACGAAAAACCCTTCTGCTCCGAACCTCCAAAAATCCGAATCCTGCAGAAAAGCGATCCACCATCAAATCGCTAGAAAGATCAAATTTTTATCCAACAAAAAAAAATATTATATCAATATTGCAAAAAAACAACCCAGACTGATAAATGATACAGGATTAGAAATAGCACCCCAGATATTATCATCCGATGCAATTCCCATATCTAAAATTGAAATTGAAAAAACTTCAAAGAGGAAAAAACGCCAACTTGAATCGGAGAAATATTTTCTGAATCGTTAATTCTGTACAAAAAAGGGAATATGAAGAGAAATGTAGAGAGAGAAAACATACCCAAATAATTATGGGTGGAGAGAGGTAGAGAGAGAAACCATGTTTGGTGGTTGCCTGTCTTTCTGTGTATGGTCCTCACTCCCTCAGCTCTTTTGTTTTCTACCCTTTGATTATTTCCTTTTCTGATATTTTTTTCTATTTAATTCAGTTGTTATTTTTCTCGTCATATATTTTTTTTTTTTTACAAAAGAGAGACTAACGCCAAGCAACATTATAATTCAACGTTCCAAAGATAAGAGACACTACTAACATCATGTTCAAGTCGTGGGACACACCGGACAGTGGAGCTAAAAGAAGTTGAAAACCGAAAGGGCTCGGCCGCCTGAGACGCCAAAAAGTCAATCACGAAATTCACCTCGCGAAAAGTATGAAAAATCTTGACCCGTCAATCTCGACTGAGTAGTTCTCGAATCCTGAGAATCAAACCATAATGAACACCCCCTAAATCTTATGTATTATTCGCAAAACCCACATTCCCTTTTTCTAAGACAATATCACTTTTTCAATTAATCTATCCCTAAATTTTCCCCTTCACTTTAGGTCTATTATGACATCATGTGTTATTAAATTTGTAAAACCCATAATTAATTTTAAGTAATATTTTATGATCAAATTATGATTGAAATATGTATATTAGAGTTGAATATTGATGTTATTTTAACACAAGATAGTGTAGATTGTGTAGTTTACTATATATAATTTTGTTGACATGCATACTTTTCATTCACATCATTCTTTTATGTATAATTTTAGAACGTGTTATTTGACATACTTCTTATTTTGCTAAATGATCATGTTTGTATAGTGTCATATAAAATGAGAATTAAGATAAAAAAAGAAAAAAACTATATATTTCATTGTGGATATTGAGAATCTTATTTTATGTATTTTCACACTCATAAATATAAATAACAACTTACATTGAATATTTATGTATTTGTGTAAAGTCGGCCTTGCGAGGCATAATAATATGATCTTATTTTTATAATCGAGCTATCATTTATGGTAATCTATCCAGACAGAACTGGGAAATATAATCTTATTTTAAGTGAGAAACCATTATTCGGTTATTCTACAATACTTTAATTGTGACAATTTGCTTCAAAATCATAAATGAGTTTTACTTCTTTTGTCGTATATATTTATGATTATTGGAGCGATGATATTAGGTTATTAATTAAAAATATTTTGTGATTAATAAATTTAGATCAGAAGTCCATAGTTAAATAAGTTGATTTGATGTTAAAGTATGAGAGAGATAGTGTGAAGTAATGATTAGTCAAAATTATGTGAGTTGATGAATATTGAAATAAAGTTGATATGATATGTAAGAATGATTAGTTGATATTATTTAATTATATTAATAATATTAATGATACTGAAGTTGAATTAAAGTTGAGTTATATTTTGATTATGAATTGAGTATAAATGAAAAAAATTTATAAACAAACACCCAATATATTACGGTATAATTGGAGATTGCAATTTTATTTGACTCGCAAATTAAGTTGTGTAAGATAAATTGTTTCAAGAGAGCAATTTTTCACCCTCTCTGCTTATAGAACAAAAAATGCTTACTTCATAAAGACCTCACAAAATACAAATATATTTGGTAATTAATGGCATTTAGAAAAACTCATTATTTTGTTTTCTCCAGTATACTCTTTTACCGAACACCTCTTCCAACACATACAGCAAGTCTGCAGGTGTTCATGTACAATTCCACTATATTTAATGGTCATACTTTTTTAAAAAACTGTATACTTTGAAAACCAGTGCAACGACAGTACGAGTCTACTATATAAAAAAATAATTTAATTTATTTAAACTTATTAATTTTTTTCTTTCAGTTATTTTTGTTATGTTTTAAAAATGTACTAATACGAAAACCGTGTACTAAACGGATTGTTTGAAAAAAAAAATATAAAACATAAAATAATAGAAAAAACAAATGCTGTCATATAAAAGTGCAAAAATAGAAATTTTGAAAAATTTCTTTGTACACAACATTAATAGTTACACTGCATATAACAATCCTATTTATTTGGGAGTTGGAGAGATCCTATTTACACTGCATATAAGAATCCTATTTATTTTGATTATTTGTGTGAATAATTTTGAAATATTTTATAATTTTCTTGATAATCATTGGATGAATTTGTATCCGTGAAAAATCAAGATTTTTTATACATTATAAATCAAAATTTTTTATACATAATAAACCAAGTTGTTGTAGTTATATTTTTATATGTAGGGTAAATTTATTAAAAAAATAATATAACATTGACATTCTAGACAATCGAGATTATGAATATAGTTATTGTAGTATTTATTAAAAAATAAAATAATATTAGGCAATGTGGATAGTAAAAATATATTATAATATTGGTATAGGATTATTAACCCGTATAATTTGTTGTGGTTCAATATATTATAACTTTTTTATTGAATTTGTATAAATCAAGATTTTTATACATTATAAATCAAATTTTTTTATACATAATAAACCAAGTGGTTGTAGTTATATTTTTTTATGTAGGGTAAATTTATTAAAAAAATAATATAACATTGACATTCTAGACAATCGAGATTATGAATATAGTTATTGTAGTATTTATTAAAAATATAAAATAATATTAAGCAATATGGATAGTAAAAATATTTTATAATCCAAAATATATTATAATATTGGTATAGGATTCTTAACCTAGTTAGCAAAAATATACTTCCTCCTATTTTTAATAAATGTCAGATTTGAGAAGTTGCACAATAATTAAGAATATTTTTTTTGCCAATAATAGCTGTCACTAATGAGGATAGAGATTGATGTTTTGAGAAAAGATTGAGAGTGAATATGAAAGGACGTAGTGTATTTATTAGTTAGATGAGGGTAATGATGAAAAAATATGTACAAAATAGTCAAAACGACATTTATTTAACAAATGATCAATTAAGCTAGGATGACAAATAATAAAAATAGGAGGAAGTATTATAATATTAAGCAAAAAAATCCTATTTACATGGCATACAAGAATCCTATTTATTTTGGAGTTGGTATATAAGAATCCTACTTATTTTGAAGTTGGAGGGATCCGAACCAAAAGTCGAAGCATGTAATATTGCCAAGTAAGCTTCCGAATCTTGCGAGTCAACCATTTAGGCGCAACACGTTATGAAATTATATTATAAGAATCCTATTTATTTTGGAGTTGACATATAAGAATCATACTAATTTTGGAGTTGGAGGGATCCGAACCAAAAGTCGAAACATGTAATGTTGCCAAGTAAGCTTTTGAAGTGTGCGAGCCAGCCATTTAGGTTCAACACGTTATGAAATTATATTAAGGGGGATATTATGAATGATCATAGATGGATCTATATGAGGCCTGGGCTAATGTTGCCAAGTAAGCTTCTGAATCTTGCGAGTCAACCATTTAGGCGCAACACGTTATGAAATTATATTATAAGAATCCTATTTATTTTGGGGTTGGCATATAAGAATCCTATTAATTTTAGGGTTGGAGGGATCCGAACCAAAAGTCGAAACATGTAATGTTGCCAAGTAAGCTTCTGAAGCGTGCGAGCCAGCCATTTAGATTCAACACGTTATGAAATTATATTAAGGGGGATATTATGAATGATCATAGATGGATCTATATGAGGCCTGGGATGGGCTGAAGCCCAGACCTCTTTTTTTTTTCTAATAACTATTAGTTTAAAAAAATATTATACTTTTAGTCCAGTCCAATAAACTAACATACTAACCCACCAAACTAATTCACTTATATATTAAGTCCCACGACTATTAGAGCATCTCCAATGCTTCACTTTCAACATTAATTAAATTTGAACACATGTCAAATGATGAATAGAATGTAAATCCATGTAATATGAATGTCAAAAGAGAAGACTTTAATTTGGAATGCGCATCTCCAATGCATCCCTTTCAAAAGCTTAAAATAGGTTAGATTTTTGATGAGTTGGCTTTCAAACACTCTTTGGAAAACTAGAAAGTGAGCTTCACACTTTGGATATTTATTTTCTTCATGTCAGCATAAAAGAGTCCATAATATTATGGATTGGAGAGTAATTTTTGTAATCACTTTATAACTTGATGATGTAGCTAAAATTTAATTAAGTCAACATCTCACATTGGAGATGCTCTTAACACCACTTTAATAAAATATTATATATTGGTGATCCACTTTTTTTCACTAGGCTAACCCACAAAAATACTATACACCAAACTCCAATCAAACAAATTAGTCTCGACCATGTTCTTTCTTTGAACACACCAGAACATTGAATTTAGAAGGAAAAAAAAGTCTATTCAACAAGAAATAGACTACTTTCAATAAGACGATTTAATTTCTTCTTTAATAAAAAGTTATATTTTTAAATCCCCTATTAGATATTTGTTTCATTTGTCTAATTGTCTTCATCCATCTTCTCATTTAGTTGAGCTTTAGGGTTCTAATAGTAATTTTTAGGATCATTTCGTTGATTGTGTATGAAGTAATGATTGTGTGTGTGTGTTTGTTTTTTAATTTTTTTTTTAATCTCTTATCCTCTAGTGTGGTTGTTGTATATCATAGTTGGATAAAAACTTCTGATGTCTAGGCATTTCATTTTGTTAAAAACTATGCCATATAATTTATTTATTTGTATTGTGGAATTTTTAGAAATTCACATGGAGCACCAACTTTTGGCCAAAAAAAGAAAAACCCCGCTAATATCATTGTTATTTAGAAAACGGGATTGACGTCAAACTAGTGAAAGCACATCAAATACGGTGCAAAATGAGCATAATGAATTTTTTTTTTTTTTTTTTGTAGAAGTTCGTTGAGCCAACTTCAGTGAATATTTCAAGAAAAAATGAGCTTTTAAAATTCTAGCCCAGTCTATTCTTATTTTCTGGATCCATCCCTGTAAATGATGATCTTTCTTTTTAGATCAATAATTTGCACATGGCTCCAAACGACTTGTTAATTTATTTTTC